CAACAAGGCTTCAAATTCAAACGAGTTCCATGTGCAAGTCTGATTAAGTCATCTGTATTAAAGGTAGATCAATGAGGGGAGCCTCATGCTTAGACTCAGAACATGCAGCATTGAAACTTTTCATGTGATCAGGGAGGGCCAGGTAAAATCCTTGTCCTCCTGTTTCAAACCAGACAGTGGAGAAGGAGGCATGGGCCAACAGTCAGGACTTGTGCTCAAGGTCAAATACTCCCAAGCAGTCTCCATCTCTAGCCCAAGAGTGCCTCCTCCTTTCCCCAAGGTGCCCAACAGCAAAGTGGACAGAAAATTATCTTCTTTTTTTTTCTCTTCTACTTTCAAGTCACCAACTCTAATAATTTCTTATCAGTGAGTCCCTTGCTCCTGTCGAGATTAAAGTATGCATTCTGCAAGGTCTGGCTTATATCTCTCAGCTCAGGAAAGCAAAAACACTAAGGCAAAAGGGAAGGGAAGGGACACAGCAGGTACAGAACACACAACTCCCTCCTCTCCCTTTCCTTTCAGAACTCTGCTCCCATTGGAACTTCTAACTGCCACTTTCTAGCATTCAAGCTTGTTGTAAGGAGGAATTTCTCAGGGGAGTCTTGGAGGAGATCTGTCTGATATGGAGAATGGCACACACAAAGATCCCTTTGCAGATCCCCAGTTACAGAATCAGACCTTCAGCTAAGCAGATGCCATCAAAACAAAGCCACAGAGAGGGAGGATTGGAGAAAATAGCATTATGCCTATGAAAGTCTAGATGGTGTCCATATAAGCTACAAAAGGAAGGTTCGGTTCTGGCAATTCAATGAAACTCCATTAGGTAAGACACTTGCTTTGGGTTCTTTTAAATTTAAAACCAAATTATTTAAGCACTGTCAGAGATGTAAGAGCATCCTAGTGATAGCTGAACTCAAATTCAAAGATATGAATACAAAGAAAACTCATTCTATAGAAGAAATTATCATGCACACATATGCCCCACGTGCCATAGGTAAATGAAGGCAGGCTAATGATCAGAATATGGCAAAGGATGGTCATAGAATGACCAGTATTCAGACCCTGAAGTACAACAATACCAACCAACATTCTTTCTGAATAGCTGTCATCCCCAGACATCTGGCTTTGCCTTTGTCTGTACCCCAGGTAAAAGAGAGATGTCTAGCTATACTTGACAAAGGGAAAGTCTGAAGTCACCACAGAAACTGGTGCATCAGCTAAGAATATGGAGTCCTAGTCCTCTCGGTCCAAATTCTGAACCCCAAGACCTTTGGACAAGTCCACATTAGCTTTCAGGATAAACCTATAGGGAAAATGAGAGAGAGGGAGAGAGAGAGAGAGAGAGAGAGAGAGAGAGAGAGAGAGAGAGAGAGAGAGAGAGAAAGAGAGAGAGAGAGACAGAGAGCCTAGAGATGCTGATTCACCTCATGTGGAAAATCAAAGTCTTACTATTGCTAAGTGCACCAGAACTCAGCCCTGGGTCCTTTGGGGCAGTATAACAAGGTGATATGCAGTACTGATAAGGAACCTTGTCCATTTGTCCTCTCTGTCCATTCTATCACCTCAGTCCTCAGTGAAAACAATGAATTGGCTGACTGATAGTGATCTGCATTGCTATATGACTGACCCCCTGTGGGATATACAACAACCAACACTAAGCACAGGAACCTCATGGTCAGTGTTTCAAACAATTAGACCCAATAGCATCTACCTATCAAATTTGCACACTCCATCTAGCAACAGTCAGCCTAGTTAGGTTGACCTTCCATAAATAGTCATCCCTCTACACTGTTATCAGGATCCCCTTCTCCTTTTTAGATCCACACTCAGGGATCAAAGCTCTCTGGATATTCATTGGGACTCCTGAATACCTAATGTGAACTTTTAGTCTTTTATCATTCAACCTCTGAATACAGCTTTGCTATATTAGAGGGAAAAGTAAGCCCTGGTTGGATTATTTTCTTTTCTTTACAGTAAAATATAAATTGTTTTTGATCCACTAGATTCCTAGTGGGAAGGTAGACAGGAGACTTGAGATCCAGTCTCAGCCTCATAGCTGGAACCTTGTGTCAATGGGTGTGAAGTGTCCAGAGCCCCTGACCTAAGAACTTACCATATTTCAGAGAAATGGGCCCTGAAAGAGAGAGGAAGCTGAGGTCCAACAGAACCCAATGGATTCCCAGGGTACAGAGAAATGTAACAACATGTCCTTCCAGAGTAGATATACTCACATCTTAGAATCTTAATTTCTTGGTCTATAGATATAGGGAGTCAGATTGCTGAAAGGCTATAAATTGGCTTTATTCAGACCATTCATTTGGACAGTTTGACTTTGAACAGTCAGTTGTCCAAAGGCCAGGCCACTCTAATTGCTGGATTGGAACAGCATGTTGTTTACCTGCCTACTCTCTGTAGGATTTGAGTTTGTGATTCCCCCAACATGGAAAATCTCTAAACCCTTTTCCAGCTTCAGCATCAGTAAGAAGTGATTGATGAAGCCAGTCATGGCAGTCACAGTAGCTCCTGTCCATAACCTTAGTACTCAAAAGACCAAGAATTTGAGGCCAGCCTGAGCTATGGAGTCAGACCTTGTCTCAAAAAACCAAACCAAAACAAACAAAAACAACAAAGTGAGAAAACAAAATCAAAACAAACAAAGAGGCAGATGGAAAAGCTCTCAAATAAGCCAAGAGGTTCATCCTAAAACAGGAGCTTCTAGGGTTCCTTCAGTCCCAATGGGAAGGTGAAATCTGTTGGCCTCAATTTCTCTGCCTTTCTAGTCTGGCTCTTATAATAAGGCAACTCTTCCCATCAGGCCCTTATCCTATCAGATCTTCCTTATAAGCAGGTAGCTGGTGAGGTGCTAGTACCCCTCTCTCAGGCCCAGCTCTACTCCGTCCGAGTCACCAAGCTTTCTTTAGCTCCTCTTCTCCCAGGGTGTCCTGAGATCATCACTGGATACCAAGCCTTTCTGGGTAGAAGCTCTGCCCTGTACCTCATGACTTTTATCAACACCTAGCATCTATTGCACATCCTAGGTGCTTTAAAAAATGCTTGAGGCCCACAGTGACAGTGGTGGCTGTTGTGAGCTCTAGAGGAGGAAAGTCTAGCATTCAAAGATCTGCCATTCCTTCCCAAACTGGTGGTGGTAGCTAGTGAGACGTAGAAAGGATACACACACACACACACACACACACACACACACACACACACCTTTCTTGACTTGTCACAGTGCAAGTGCCCCCTTCCTCCTGAATGGCTTCCTCTAAAGCCGGGAAGGGTTTTCACTGCCTAGGAATGACCAAGGCAAGTTCTAGTGTTCTTGTCTCTCTTTCCCTCTCTCCCTCTAACTCTCTTTCTCTCTCATCACATCACCATCATCCTTCCTCCTGCACTGGGAAGAATCTAGATTTGGAGCACAGTGGTCTCTTTCCAAGCTTCTTAACCTGTTCTATTTCTCCCCTACTTTGAGGTCCCATTCTAAGCTTCTAGTTCTCCTCTGCCCCTTCCTCAAGGTCATCTGTCCCAGCTCAGGAAAGGCGAGAGGCCACTTCTAAATGCCAAGAAAAAAGGAAAGGAGGCGGGGGGGGAAGAAAAAAGAACGGGAAGAGATGGGCTAAAAGATAGCGGGAAGTGAGAATGGTGAGGATGGTGGAACAGCACAGGCAGAATGAGGCCCAAGTTGGTGCTCTGGCGAAGGTGCGGGCGGAAGGGCTGAGAAACGTGAAAGGAGGCTGAGTTCGCTTGAGGGTGGAGGAAACAGATTGGGGTTGGGACCGGAGAAAGTAGGGAACTGGTAGGTTCCAGACACAAGCAAGCTTCCAAACCTCCAATTCTATTTGTTTGGCAGACAGGGGGCAGCTCCCGGCTGCCCAGATGCGCACAGCAGGCTCCCTCCCTTTCCCACAATGGGAAGCCTGGACAGGACCGCAGGCTGGGGGGCGAGGTCCCACGCCTGCCAGGTGCAGCGGCGCCAGGTCACTGAGAACCAGGCCCTAGTGAGCAGATGAGGAGGGGCGAGATCGGCGCTTCAGGTGGTCCTCTTGGTTCGTTAAAGTTTTGGGCAGACGACAGAACCCGCTATCTTTGGCAGGTGCACTCCAGCCTCACCTTCTTTCTCCGCGGCTCGGGCGATCACTTGTCCGCCTAGCTCCCTCCAGCTTCGGTCCTGGATCCCCTTCACTGTCCGCATCGCTCGCAGTACCCGAGCGCCCCCCGCTCCCTCCCTCCGCGCTGGATCTCCCGCACGACGTGAGCGGAAAGTGAATCGGCAGCCCCAACCACAAAGACAAATTACCATGAGAAAAATAAATCTGGAAATCGCCATTCGCATCCCGGGTTCCCGCCGCCGCACCCTCTACACTGGCGGAGGCGGGAACCAGCGGCCCCGGGACTGCCCATCCAGGGCCTGAAAGACAGAGTTTGGGCACCAAAGGGCCCAGTTGAGGCGGGGATTTCCTAAGTGGGGGGTCTGGGAAGAATCGGTGAGGACCGGGTTGGCGGCGACGGCGCCGGGAGGTTCCCGCGCGGGAGATTTCACACTCCGGGCCGGCCACGCGTTCCCACGCGCCTCGCCGCCCGCACTCTGCCTCTACCCCGCTGACCCTATCGCGGTTTCCAGAGCCTCCATCTCGGCCCATTTTCTGCTCCTTTACTCCGTTCCCTCCGAGTGGCTCATTCATCTGTCCCTCTCCTCCAGGCCCGGGTCCTGGGTCCCCACCGCGGTTGCAACCCAGACGCACGGATTGCAGCGGGGTGGAACCAGAATCCGGAGCGTGCGGGTGGCAGGAAAGCAGCAGCGCAGAGGGCGCCCAAGTCCAGGTGGCAACCGACAGCGTAGAAGCCGGGGGACACCCCCCCCCGTCCCCTGCAGTCTCCCGACCTAAGTCCAACTTACCAGCGTCCCCAGACTCCCACCCCTCCACCCATCCGAGTTGCTGAAGTTTGCAACTTACAGCCCCAGCCCTCGCGGGGAAAGCTCGAAAGCTCCCAGGACTCACCTCCCGGCCAGCCGCACGCGCAGGTACCAGCCTCCCCGCGGCCCTTGGTTCCCAGAGCTACAGAGCGGCGGTGGAGAACCAGAGCTCCGGCGGCGGATCTGGGAATGGGGCGGCCGAACTGGAAGGGTCCCGGCCTCCGATCAGCGCTGCGCTGCAGTCCCCGATCCCGGCCGCGCCCGCCGCTCCAGCCGCTGCTGGATGCACGGCCGACTCGCCCGGCTTCGCGGAGCTTGGCTCCGGCACCAACCCGGGCGCTCCAACTATCTCCAGACCTGGCGCGCGGGAGAGAGCAGGGAGGAGGAGACCGAAGGAGCCAAGGAGGGAGGGAGGGGCAGTGGGGGAGGAGTTGGGAGCGCGAGGAGAGAAGGAGGGGAGCCGGAGCGAAAAGGAGGAGGGGGATAGAGAGGACCTGCAGCCACCCGCACTTCACCCGCCAGCCCCCTGACGCGCGCGAGAGCGCGAGGGGGCGCCCTGCATCCCCAAGTCTCCTCAGTCCGACTCCTGCCCCTGACCTCTGCCCTAGGTCCCCGAGCCCTTGACACCTTTTGCCACGTCCCACCTTACCGTGTTTGGTCATCCCCATCTCAAACCACCCTAATCCTTGGAGCCTAAAGAATGCCTTTCCCCCCACCACCTCTGGACTCCCCCAATTCCCCAGCCTTTTTAGCTAGAGAGGAACATTGTCCTGCCTGTGGATTTGAAATTTAAATGGAAAAGGGAGTGTGTACAAACCCTGGGAGATCTGTAATAAACTCCAGTGGTAGAGATGCTAGGCTACTGAGCTAGACCTGACTGGTTGCTGGTTAACCTCACAAGCCACACGACCTGGGAAGAACCTCTCCAAGCCTCAGTTTCCTCAGCTGTAAACTGGGGTTGGTGACGTGCACGCTACAGAATGGTGAATGATGAACTACCAGGGGATCCAGGGAGTGAAGCAGCATCAGGAACTTTGGGAAGACGTCCTGGGGATGCACGACCCGGGAGAGGGGGACCCTTAGCGCTAGCGCGCCGAGCCAGACAGAATTGTTTACAAGTTTAAGTGATCTAGTGTTTCTGGTGGCTCAGAGGCGGGAGGAAAAGCCATAGAGAGCAAGCCTCGAATCCCAACTGCCTGGGCTTGCGCTTAAGGACGGAAGGGGGCCCTCTGCTGAACAAAAGGGGTACTTAAAAAAAAAAAAAAAAAAGGTGACCTAAGGAAGTCGAAATGCCTAAAAGACAAAGGACCTGAACAATTAAAACATGAGAAGGGTGATTCCAAGAGAAATACGAAATAATACTACTCTGGGGGAAGAAAAACATTAGAAAACTTTTTGGTCTTCTAGAAATTGGACAATTGGAGCAAAGTCCAAGTGAAGATTTCATGCACAAAATTCTGAGTAATGGAAATCCTGGATAAAGGAGAAGAACATGGCCTGTAGGAGCCCAGGAAGCACTCCCCCCCAGCACCGCCAGGATATGGAACAGAAAGGGTGTTCCCCTTTTTGAATACCAGAAAAGCCTTTACAAGGTGCTGTAAAAAGAGAAACAGTGCCGTGCTCTCTGAGATAAAGACTTTCTAGGGCAGCAGAAATGCTGAAACTCATAATGTGCAGAATAAAGATGAACTTGCAAAGATAAAATCTATTCTAGGTCCAAAAAGAGACTCAGAGAAGGGGGTAAGGAGAAAACATACATCTGGGCATACATGCATCTAACATTGAAAATCAACTTGGAAAAAGCAATGCGTGGTAAGGAGACCAAGCCTATCATGTCACAGACAAGGACAGAGACGTGTGGGGGGAGGCAGAAGTCACTCTCCAGAGTCTCTGGCTGGAGTAGACAGGTCTCCCGATGCCCACTCTGGACTCCTTGCACCTGTGAATTCTCCTCACCAACCCACACACTCAGCCTCAATCCCTAGAGATCTTGGGGTTGTTTATGTCATTGCAAAGATACAAATGTATACAATAGAGAAATATCTTTTAATTAAAATAAAAACATGACAATATTCCATAAACTGCAGGGAATGAGCAGGACAGCTTCCCATTTGTCTGGCTAGGAGAGTAGACAAATGGCTCCTGGATGGGTCTGTGTGCTGCTGTGCTCTCTTGAAAAGCATTCAAAATCTCTATCCTTCTCATCACATTCTCTCATCAGCCTTTTCTCTTTCCACCATTTGAACTGTTTTCTCTGTCTTCTCTTTCTGCCATCACCCCACCTCCTTTCTTGGCTCTCCCTCTCTGCCTTATGAATGAACAGGGAAGGGGGCTTGGCACAGGAAGAGAAGAGAAGACAGCCTTGTCTGGGGAAACAGGAAAAGAAACCTTCCTCTCTGGGGGAAGGAGGATCCAAGGAGAGACACTCAAAGGCTCAGGCTGAGGAGCAGGGCTGCTTGTAACACTGGGCTAATTAATCGTAATTGCATCCTACTGTGTTGTATTGATTATCAGTGATTATTCAAGGGCTCTCAATAAAAGAGAGTTCCAGAAGTCCAACACTCAAGAAGGGACAGTTTCCCCCTAGAACCTGCTCACCACCTGCTCCAGGAATCCCTTGGCATTTGGCGAACCCAACCGGATGAGAATTGTTGAATTATTTACTTGGAACAAAAGCTGGAGTGCTGGTTCCAACACCAGCAGCTTCTGTCACTTCCTTAGACCTTTGTGATAACCTGTGGGATAATTACTTCTATTAGGAGCCATCCTCCACCTACTGAAACACTGTTAATTAAGCAGAATGTAAATACAGCAATTAATACTGAATTATCCAAAACAAACAAGCTAAAGAGTAGTGAATATAGGGGGTAGCAGGAGTTCTTAGCATTCACTCTTGATGTAGAAATTCCAGAGTTATCTTGAACTAAGGTCCCAAGAGGTTAAGAAGTATAAATTCCCAGATTAAAGGGTGGCAAAGCTGGGCCACCCTTGTCCACTCCCTCCCACTTAAGCTCATTTTCTGAGTGATACAGCTCCCTCTGAAAAACAAGAGTACAGCCTCTCCCAAGAGGCATGAGTGTGTGCTCCTGTGTGTATGCATGCCTGTGCACAGCCCCGCATAAGTACAAGCACAAGTCTTGTCTTATAGCAAAAGGCAAACAGCCAGCCATAATCTGATAGGAGAGAGAATTGAAAACAAAAAAGCAGCAATCACTTATAATGTCCAAATTGTTTCCTGGTCCCAGAATTGCCTGCTCATTGTGCTGTGGGATGACAAAATAAAAAAGCAAATACCCACCTCAGTAGTCACTGTCACTTTGTGAACCCAAACCATACTCAGGTCAGAGGAACTGAAGTGTCACTGAATGACAGCTCTGCCATTGTCCTCAACTACTGTGAGAGACCTTCCTTCCTTCCTTCCTTTCCCCAAAATTTAAGTGTCACTCACTTTGGAGAGGTCATAGGAAGAGTCTCATGGGCAGGCAGGGAAAGGGAGGCATAATCCTGGCAGATGAAAGGGCAGCCACAGGATGTGTGCTGTGCAGGCACTCAGAAGATCAGCGCTCAGCTCTACCAGGCACGACGAGGACATCTTCCCTGAAAAGGGCCATTCAAGCCTGGAATGAAAGATGGGGCAGGAATTTGCCAGACAGAGAAGTGGGAGGAAGCAGAGTATTCCAGGCAGAGGAAATAGCATGTGTAAAAGCACAAGGCGATATAATTAGATTTGTGTTTGAAGAATTACTTGGCCCTGGTTAACAGATTCCAAGAGAGCTGAGGCAGTAAACGTGAGCAGGTGTGTTGCGTGGTGGAAACAGTGCCACGGCAGCAGTTAGAGCTCCTTGGTTCTAGGATGGCTTTGCCACTGAGGAGCTGAGTGACCTTGAACAAACCTCTTGGCCTATTGGACCTCAGTACCTTGTGAATAAATGAAAAGATTGATAGCTTGTTTCTCAGGTCCACAGCTTTCTGTGATGTTAACTTCATTTCCCATATTTCTTTAAACTTTACCTTATGTTCTTGGTCATAGTCATGCACTTAGTCACTCCCCAGCACTTGAAGGTTTTTGAGGGTGTCTTCCAACCGCTATCTTTTTGACCTTCACATCCATGTGAAGGGGACAGCCAAACCAAGCCCTAGATGATCTTGTCCCATCACCTGTCTATAAACACCATCTTCATGCTATTGGAGATGCCCAGGCTTATATCTGCAGCTCTGACCTCACTCTGCAAATCAGATGCATAAAATCAGCTGCTGCTCCTTCCTCTGCAGGAATGTCTGCTGAGTGTCTCACACTTCCCCTGGCCAACACCTAGCATCAGATTCTCTTTCCCAAGTCAGTGCCTCCTTTAGACTTCTACAGTCTAATAAATAAAAACTTCTTCTAGGGCTTGGTGGTAGAATACTTGCTCAGCATATGCAAAGTTCTGGGTTCCATCCCACCACAGAAAAAAAACAACCAACAAAATCCTCCATTCTTTGAATTTCTCAAGGTCAAAATTACTCCATACTCATACGGAAACCATCAGTAAATCAATGTCTCACTTTGACTTATTTTCAGAATCTGACCACTCCATTGCCTCTTCTGCTAGCACCTAATCCTAGCCATCCTCCTCTCCCCTGGATGCTTGCTCTACCTGTTTCCATCATCGTGCCTTGGGCTGTTTTCCACACAGAAGCCCTCTTAAGTCAGATCCTATCACTCTCCTCAAAAGCCTTCTATGGATCTCTCTGGAGAAAAACCCACTTTCTTACCAAAGCTCCAGACCCTCTGAGGCTCCTTCTAACACCATCTCCTACACCTCCCCTCTACCCAGCTTCTATTCAGCCATATCACTCTCTCTGATGTTTCTCAGGGATCCAAGGATATCTATGCTCCTTTGCACTTGATATTTTCCAACTGGAGACCTCACTTCAGTCTCTAGTCATGACATCACTACCTGACATACTGTGCATATTTAGAATCCATCTCCATCTAAATTCCACGAAAGCAGAATTTGCCTGTTACTTATTGTAGCCTCAGCCCACGGAAGAGCACTTGGTTTAGTGCGTGAAGTATTACTGTCCTCATTTTACAGTTAAGAAAACTGAGGCTCAGTGATGCAATTGATTCTCCCCAGAGCTGAGATTTGAACTCAGACATTTGCGTGCCAAATTATTCTCTCCAGTTGATTCATTATTAGAAAACATATATGTCAGTACTTTAAAGAGGTTTTAACAGAAGATGCACATTACAAATAAATGTAATGACTGGTTTTTGTTTTGGGGTTTTTTTGTTTGTTTGTTCGTTCGTTCATTTTTTGGACAATTAACCACCTGGGAACCCACACAACAGTGCTTCAATCACAGGGTCATGAAGAGTTATGTTGGAAAACTCAAACTTCTAA